AGCCCTGCGTCGGGCTCTGAACTGGCACGTCATTAGGATTCTTCCTCTCCCTCTCTCTGCCACTCCCCCACTCATGGTCTCTTTCAAAATAAATAAATATAAACATTTTTTTTTAAGTGGGGGAGAAGACTTGCAAGAATCAGAAAGGTGCTGGGGCACCTGGGTGGCTCAGTCAGTTAACTGTCCAACTTCGGTTCAGATCATGATCTCACCATTTGTGAATTCAAGCCCCGCATCAGGCTCTGTGCTGACAGCTCAGAGCCTGGAGCCTGCTTCGGATTCTGCGTCTCCCTCTCTCTCCACCCCCTGTTGCTCATGCTGTTTCTCTCGCTCTCTCTCTCAAAAATAAACACACATTAAAAAAAAAAAAAAAAAAAGAATCAGAAAGGTATTAAGGATATATCAGGACCAAACCAAGTCTTTCTCCTGACATCATCAGAGTGTGAAAGAGAACAGAAAAGCACATAACTTGTGCGCTATATAACAATGACTTTCAGGCCAGCACATACCAAACCTCCTCATTGTATGTGTCCCAGACTCAGGGACAATGCAGCCCAAGGTGCCAGGGTCCCTTCCCTGAGAAATCTATCTTGGGGGCTCAGCACACATACCGATTATTAACCATTTGGCCTTCGGGCAACTCTCATGCTGTAGCTTGGTACTGTTGTATTGTTGTTGTAAGTGTATTTATTTAAGTAATCTCTATACCCAACGTGGGGCTTGAATTCACGGCCCTGAGATCAAGAGTCATGTACTCCACCAACTGAGCCAGGCAGGTGCCCCTGTTTTATTGTGGTTTTTGTCTGTTTGTTTTTGTAACCTGGTATTGTTAATTAGCCACTGATTCCAAGACATATATTTTCTATCTTTTAATCCCTGAAGTTGGTGTGTTTCAAGTTAATTGGCAGTGGGTTTTCTTTCTTAGTGGTATATAAAATAGTGATGGGTCCTTATCATTAATGGTGTCTTAGATCCAATGACCTATGGACCATTTCTCATATACTTGTGAGCATTCCTTGAGAGGAAGGACCTGCTTGGAACGCAGTCCCCATAGGAACTCAGACATTCCATGACAAGTGGCCAGAGAATTCCAGGAGTTTGTACCCACATAGGAGTATGAGAGTACCTGGTCTTCCCCGATTTCAGCAGTGGCCCCGAAGTCCCTCTGACACTGCTGTGGCTGGGTGAGTTGCCATCCTGTTGTCCCAGCTCTGCCCACTCCACCGGGGATTAGCCATGCCAAGCATCCAATGCCGACTCCACCCCACTGCCAAGTCTCCTGCTTCCTTCCTCCACACGCCTGAACAATTTTCGGAAAGGCCGCATATTTCCTATTCACACAAACCGCCCCCTTCCCCACCCCCGCACACACTGACGCATACCTTCTCCACACCCACAAATGCCAGGCCTGCCAGCGCCAGCGGCAAGGGGCGCCTGGGGAGCCAAGACGGGGCCCCCCCACGCTCACACAGCCTCGTCACGGAGCCGCGTAAATACGCACCTCGGAGAGCGTGCACCCCTGTAACTCTTTGGTGGGTTACAAGTTAATTTCTCGGAAGAAATTTAACACAAAAGGCAGTAAGAAAGAAGTCTGTTTCAAAAAGCCTAATTTTGACTTGATTGTGTGAGGGAACTCCCCAAATTCGTATTCTGGCATGAAAACTTTCTACAGTGATCCAGTTGTACGGACCCAGTGAAGGGTGTCACAAACACCTCGTGCACATGTATGGAAGCCGCTTCATATACATATGTTACCGCGTCACATAATAGGCCAGAAAAGTCCCCACAGAGATTCATCTCAAACTCCTGGGCAGCAGAAGTGGATAAAGCACGGTTCCAACTTCAGGCCACAGCTTGAATATCAAATTATGGTATGAAAAGGCTGAGTGTTTTTGTGGTGAAAGCACCCAGATTCCTTGGAGGCAAAAAGGAAGCTCAGAATGAGAGAATAATGCCCCCAGGAAGATGGCTGGGGGGGGGGGGGGGGGCCAACTGTTCTTTCTCTCCCAAAAGCTGAAAATACCCGGTGCCTCCTGCCATCTCTCTTTCTGAATGACCCCCTTTTCCTTCCCCACTTCTCTGGGACCAGCTCGCCCCCGGCCCACCCCCCCCCCCTTTCAGCAGGCTTTTCATCAAAGGCCCTCTATGTTTTCATCACAAATATAGTCCTAATACATGCTTAAAGGGGCTGCTAATAATTGTGGGGCAGTTACTGTGAGCAGCAGCTGGGCCACATTCTGACGGCGGAGGGGACGGCTGTGGGTGATGGCCTAACGGATGTTTTTATTTTAATGGGTGCGTATTTATTATGGATGTTAGAAAAAATATTTAGCCAGCGCCTGTGACCTCATGGATGTGGTCGCTCGAGTGATGTTTCTAAGTGAAAAAAAAATTAATTTCAAGTCGATTTTCATTTTATGACTAAGTACAGCAAAGCACAGGCAGAAACCACACTCTTGATTCTCCCAGCGCCAAATGCGCTCCAGGGTCCCTCATCTCGGTGAAGGGCACCGCTGTTGTGCCAAGTGAAATCCTGTAGTCCTTCTTCCCTCTCCCTCCGTCACGCACCCCACATCGGATCCAGCAGCAAATCACACCCGCTCGTCCTCCAAAATACAGCCAGAACCTGCTACTTCTCCCCACTCCTCTGCCGTCGCTCCTGCCTGGACGCCCGGGAGCGCCACGCAGCAGGTCCCAAGCTTCCACTCTCTCTCCACTCAAACCTGTTTTGACATCAGGCTCTTTCTCCAACCACAGACCAGATCGCGTGCTCCTCCTAAACACTGCCAAGTTTCGGGGCGCCTGGGTGGCTCAGTGGGTTAGGCGTCCGACTCTCTATTTCGGCTCAGGTCATGAGCTCCTGGTTCGTTCGTGCAAGCCCCGCGTCCGGCTCTGTGCTGACAGTGCGGAGCCTGCTTGGAGTTCTCTCTCTGCCCCTCCCCTACCTGCTCTCTCTCCCTCTCTCAAAATAAAGAAACAAACATCAAAACCAAAAAAACACCAGCAAGTTTCACAGTACACTTAGAATAGAGCCTAAAGAAGTCCACACCAGGGTCCACAAGGCCCCTTGGCCCTTGGTTACTACCACTCCCCCAACACGCTCTACTCCAGCCACTCTGGCCTCCGTGGTGCTCCCCAAACACACAAGCCTCTGCATCCCTCTTCCCTCAGGCAGGAACACCCCTCCCAAATCCCCTACTGCATCCCATCAAATGGTGGGAGGTCTCATCCAAATAGTCTGTCTAAAATGGCCCCTCTGCCCTTCTATGAAGCACCACCTGACGCTACAGATACTATTATATCGTAATCTGTATTTATTCGTTGTTACGGTCTCCCTTATCAGAACACAGGCTTCACGAGGGAAGTGTCCCCCATACCCACACAGTGCCTGCCACAGAGTAAGAGCTCAGTGACACTTGAGTGTTCAGAACTGAAGGCGGCACTTCATGGCTGGACTGTGACTACGCTAGGCTAGGGACTGTGACGTGTGAGTTCATTTAATTCTAACAACACTCCTGGGAGTCCCTTCGGCTGGGAACCAAGGTTCGGGGATGTTAAGGGACTTGTCCGAGTCCATTCGAAACCTGTGCTTTTTGTGAGGCCGTGAAGGACCCAAGTTCCTCTGAACACACCAAGCTACCTTCAAAAGCTCTTCTTCTGTTCAAAAGACCTTTTAAGGGACCACGCTGCCTGGGGACCTCTGCCATCTGGATACCCGTGAGGGTATCCTTGGGTGACAGCTACCCGACCTTGTGTGGTAGCCCTCACAGCCATCTGCTCAATGACGGTACCTGAGCTGATCTTACCACAGGACAGCAGAGAGCCGGTCAGCGAGCCACACACACTGCCCGGACACTCAGACGCCCTGTGAACAGGGATGTCTTGATCACCATTAGGATGGGAGGGCTCTCGTGTGGACATCACTGCCACCCCCTGGTCTTTCATCACGAGGCTATGTGCTTAAAGCTGATTATCCATCTTCCAAAGATTCCGTTACCACCCAGGAACACGTTCCGGAGCTGACAAGTACAGGAGGCAGGCAAATCCACAGGGCAAGTACCACATCTGCTTGCCACATCTGGGGTGGACCCAGGGGACCAGCACCCTACGGTGGCAGGTCCGATGGGGCTCATGATGCCAAGATGTGTATGCATCCATGTGCACGTGTCAGGAGGACGCAGGGGCTGTAAGACACCAGCGACAAATCCATGAAGGTCCAGACTGGGGGTAAGGGTGAGTCTCGGGACCATCCTCCCACTGCCTGCTTTCACCTTACAGTTAAGGAAACCGAGGCATGACCAATTAGAGCCAGGACCAGGACCCAGGCTGCCACTCGAGTCATTCCTCCGGTATCACCTGGAGGTTAACCCCGTTCCTGGAATCAGGCAGTCTGATGTTAACCCTGACTCTGCTACTTACTGGCTGTGTGGCCTTGGACAAACGACCACCGTTTGTCCTCATCTGTGCCTCCGTTTCCTCATCTGTCAAACGGGAATAAGAGTACCCACCTCCCAGGGCTGTGATGAAAATTCAGCTCATAACGTAAAGCAACTGGCGGAAAACCTGGAGGGTGATGAGCGGTACACCACGGGCTGCTGCTGCTGCTGCTGTAACTGTTATTACCGCACAGCTGCTCAGCGCCCGGGGTGGGCTCACCGCCCCGACTATCTCCGCCACCGCGCGCCACGTTCCCTTCCGGCCCCGGGACGTTCCCCACCCTCGACGCGCCCCTGACGCTCGGGGTCGCTGCGATCGCGAATCCCAGCCCCTGACCGCCCGGAGGCAGCGCGCACGCGCGGGCTACGCGGGGCCGCACGCGCCGCCGGCCTCGGGAATGGGGGGGGGGGGGCCGCCCCCGCGGGGGGGGGGGGGGAGGGCAGCGGCTACACCTCGTCAGCGAGAGGGAGGCTGCCCAGCGGCGGAGAGGGAGCCGCGCCTGCACCCGACAGGCCGCCCCCTGGGGTCCCAACCCCCAGCCCGGAGAGCGGGTCGTTCCTCACACTCTGCAGCAGGCTCCTCCTCTGCGCCGCCATCTTGGAGGGACCCCCGCGGGTGAGCCCGCCTCCCAGCAGAGCAGGCGAGAAGGGCGGCTAGAGCGGCCTGAAGGGGGCATGCTCACAGCGCCACCCCACGGCCAAGGCGGGATGGGGCCGTGAGCTGTCTTCCCCTTTTTCTGTCCTGGGAGGAAAAAAGGGAAGGCCTCCTTCCCTACGTGATTGCGTCTCGCCAATTTTATTTGCGCATTTTCTCCAGGATGCTTTTCAGGTGGGGCTCCTAGGACACCAGATTTGGGCTCTTCATGCACTCATTGGGCGTGGGGTCCGGTGAATTATTCATTCACTCGATAAATATTCGTTGGGTGACCATGCCTGGCCCAATAGAGATAAAGCAGCAAGCAAGACACCCTCAGAAAGCTCACCTTTCAGTTGGGGAGGACATCGTTTGCGTACATAAATCATTTCGAGCCGGGCTAAATGCTAGGAAGAGAAGTTTATGGAAGTGGCATAGGAGCGTAGGGCGGGTCAGGCAGAGGGGACAGCTAGTGCACAAGGCAGGAGAAAAGGGAGCATGTGAGTGTGAGTTCAAGGAAGCATGCGTGTCACACAAGGTCTCTCTGTGGCTGGAACAGAGATGGAGGGGGAATGAGATGAAGGGCCCTGGGGTAGGTTCTGACCTTGCCCAGCCCTGGGCAGGAGTTGGCCTATTCATGGGGAGGACAAAGGAAAGTTGTTGACTTCTGAGCAAGCCACAGACATGATCCCATTGGTAGAAAGATCCCTTTGACTACTGTGTACAAAACAGATGTTATGGGGGTATTGGAGTGAAGGCCAATTAAGGGAATGTTGTGCTAGCTCGAGGCAAGAGATGATGGTGGTTTGAGTCAGCTGCCCCTGCCAAGTGGATGGATTTTATTTAGGAGATGAAATTGTCAGGGCTTGATTTGTGGATTGGTTGTGGTTGATGATGGAAAGAGATTTGTCAAAGATTCACCCAGATTTCTGGAACGAACAGCTAGAAAATCTTGGGGTGGGGGGAGAAGGACTGAATGACCTTGAGTTCAGTTTGGTCATGTTGAGTTTAGGTGCTTTTAAGACCTGCAAGAAAAGAAGTCAAGTCAGTCCTGAGATCAAGAGGACTAGAGAAGACTGACGAGGTTTTGGGGTGTTGGGTTCAGAGCTGACAGGCAAGAAAGAATTCTGGAAGACGTCTTTACTGCAAAAAGATGATTTTATTCAAGCACAGGGACAGGACCCGTGGGCAGGAAGAGCTGCATGGGGTCGTGCAAAGTGACTGCTTATATACTGTGGAGGTGGGGGAAGGTAAAGGCAAAACAAGTTTCTTAAAGGGATTTCCATTTGCTAAAGAGAATTTACAGATTACTGGAGGCCCAGCTCTTGTCAAGCTAAAGTTGGTTTTCCCTCTAGCAAAGCATTATCATTAATAGTAGGGAGCTCCTGAAGATTAGGCTATTAATGGCATATTTGTAAACTGATGCAGACTCTTAGCAAACAAATTTAGCCATTTGTTTTCTGTCCTCTCCTTTGTCTTAGGCATCCAGGAATGCCTGAGGAATATCACATATCCCACTTTGGGGGGGTGGGGGAGGGGGCTGGCTTCCTGGTGTAACTTGCCTTATGCTCCCTCATCAAAGACAACAGCAGAGGAGCCCCTAGAGAGGTTGGGAAGCAGAGGCCAGGCCTGGAACCCAGGATGAGGAGTGCATGGGTAACAATGTAACATGCTTTTGAGAGATCTAGTTAGAAGATTACTGAAGAAAGTCCCTTAGGTTGTGCTCCCCAGAGGCCCTTGAAGAGAAACGGAACCCAGATTGAATGTGTTTTCTTTTAGGTTGGGAGAAACTGGGACCTATTTAAATGCTGAAGAAAAGGCTTACCAGAGAAGAGCTGACGATTCAGAAGAAGGGACGGGAGGCAATCTAGGCCGGGGTGGTGACATACCATCGTCTACCAACATAGCTCCACGTGGCCCAAGATGACAGTTTGAGCTACAGCGATTTTGTCTGAGGTCAGCCAGCAGGAAGGAAAGAGGAAGGGAGGAAGATGGCATTTCTTTCTCTCTCTTTCTCCTTCTTTAAAAAAAATTTTTTTTTAATGTTTATTTACTTTTGAAAGAGAGAGAAAGAGAGTATGAGTTGGGGGAGGGAAAGAGAGAGAAGGAGACACAGAATCCGAAGCAGGCTCCAGGCTCTGAGCTGTCAGCACAGAGCCTGACGCGGGGCTCGAACCCACCAACCGTAAGATCACGACCCGAGGCAGAGTCGGACGGGCGACTGAGACCACCCAGGCGCCCCTCTTTCTTCTTTTTTTAGATTGAACATTTACTTACAAGCAGCCTTCCCTTTTAGGCGACTTCCAGAAGTTCCCTGTGACGCTTCTTACATCTCAGTGGCTATACCTACCCCCATGGCCACATCGGCTGAAAGGGAGGTGAGGAAATCCAGGCTTTGGACAGAGCTACAGTTTCTGTTACTAAAGGAGTAAGACATAGATACCAGGACATTAGGAACAGTCTGTGCCATAAAGGGAAGTGGGAGGGACCAGGTGGTTTGTCTGTTGAGGTAGAGTCTGGAAAGATTCAGGCATTGGAGCCCAGCCCACTGCGTTCTAATCCCTACCCATATCCTGTCACCTGTGTGACCTTGAACAAGCCTTTACGGTATCCTCTGTAAAATGGGAGTGACAGTCTACCTGGCCGAATGACTGCAAGGATTGAATGAGATGCCGTGGAAGGACCTGACCTGTGGCAGCCCCTTTGTTACATGTGTGTTACATGTTTGTTACATGTTTGTTACATTTAAATTAAAAAAAATTTTTTTTTTCACGATGAGAAACACACCCTGAGGACCTGCTGTGTTCATAGTATTTCTTTCTCACTCCAACCAGCTATTACGATCATCCTTACTTTGTCAAACAGGAAACTCCAGTTCAGCAAGTCACCCAACAAATAGACGCTAGGATTTGAATCCAGGTCCTGTGACTGTGATGTTGTGATACCATGAGAAATATACATTCGGTCTTCATCCCTGGTTCTTGGCTTCCAAATCCTTGGGTGACAGGGGTTCCAGCAGCATCTTTTGTTATGATACTTGGTCTCCCCTCCTAGTTTCCACAAGGGTTTTGGAACTTTCTGAGTGATAGAAGTGATGGGAGTATCTTCAGTTATTCACGAAAAGCCCCTTCGGCCATCCTGGAGTTTATGACATGGCTGGTGGCTAGAAGTCCCTAAATAACTTCAGGCAGGGACAAGTTGCCAGAGGGTCCAATCATGGGATTAGAGGATTGAAACTTTCAGCCACTCTCACCCCCACTTCTGCTGGGGTGGGGAGTGGGGAGGAGGCTGGGGATTGAGTTAATCACCAACGGCCAGCGAGTTCATCAATCATGCCTGTGTAATGGAATCTCCACAAAACCCTAAATAAAGGGGTTTGGAGAGCTTCTGGTGAATGCATCTGCGTGCCGGGAGGTTGGCTCACCCCAGCCTCTGTGGGCCCAAGCACTCTCTGGACCCTTCCATATCTCATCCTATGTACCTATTCATCTGACTGTTCATTTATATTTTTTATAATATCCTTTTTTAAAAACATTTAATGTTTATTTATTTTTGAGAGAGAGAGAGAGGGAGAGAGAGAAAATGGGGGCGGGGCAGACAGAGAGAGACAGAGACAGATCCGAAGCAGGCTCCAGGCTCTGAGCTGTCAGCACAGAGCCCGATGCGGGGCTCGAACTCATGGACCACACAAGATCATGACCCAAGCCGAAGTCAGACGCTTAACCACCTGAGCCCCCCCGGGCGCCCCTATCATAATATCCTTTTTGATAAATCAGCAAAGTAACAAGTACTTTCCTGAATTCTGTGAGCTGTTAGAGCAAATCATGGAACCTGAGGAGGGGGGTCACCAGGACCCCCTGATATGTAGTCAGATTGGACAGAAGTGTGGGTAGCCTGGGGACCCACCACTTAGGACAGGATTCCGAAGTAGGGAGCAGTCTCGTGGGACTCAGCCAGTAACCTGTGGGGTCTGGTAATACTTCTGGTAGTACACAGAGACGTTTGTCGTCAGAAGGATTCCGCTCTTGTAGATAGATAAAAGCACCCTGGTGGTAGGCTCCAGGGCCTTTGCTGGCAACCCTCCCAACCCTTCACAGCTCAGCCTCTGCCAAGTGCTTGGAGGCCCCCGGACGACCACGTGGTCCCTGCGTCCATCTGGCGGCTGCTGTTTCCACATTTGACCACGCGGTGACCTTCTACTCATCATCAAGGCTCCTAGCGAATGAATAGCCCTTCCGAGAAAACTGTTTTGTTGTTGATTTTTACAGAGTTTGTTAATGTTGACTTGTTTTTGAGAGAGACAGAGCAGAAGTGCAGAGAGAAGGAGACACAGAATCCGAAGCGGGCTCCAGGCTCCGAGCTGTCAGCACGGAGCCCGACGTGGGGCTCGAACCCACGAACCGTGAGATCGTGACCTGAGCCGAAGTTGGACGCCCAACTGACTGAGCCACCCAGGCGCCCCATTTTTGTTTCTTTTTAATTCACATCTCAAGAATTACTCTTTCGGTCCATTTCAATCACTTAAAATCATAGTTCTTGTTTGCGGAGACCCCCCTCCCTCCCCCCTCCGCCGGGAGACAGGGACTATGGCAGTTCAGCTCTGGGTCTCCTCACAGGCTCCAGAGAAGTTGCTCAGCAAATGTGTGTGACAGCAAATTGGTCGAAGAGTCAGAGATTAATAGATACCTTGGTGCATGAGGCAGCTGGGGGACAGGCCATCTGTGCCAAGGTCCCCAAGTGATTTAGAGTGGGGAGCCGGGACCATGACTTGGGGCTTCCCTCCCCCCCACCGCCTCTTTCCACACCTGACCGCCTCAGTAATGCACAATGGTGAATCCTCCTTCCCAAATTCCTCCGGCCTGGTTTTCCAGGCAGCAAAAAGGCACTGAGTTCATCGTGGCGTCGGGAATAACGAGCACAGTCAATGCTTCCTGTTTGCAGGACCCCGGGCTCCCCAGGGGAGGGCGTGGAGACAGATCTGTGGACAGGCCCCCTTCTCCTCTGGGGACGGCGTGCCTGGGAACCCTGTTGCGGTGTAGATCCTGTTTGCCCCATCACACTGGGGTTTGCACTCAATCCAAGACGTGCCAGAGGAACAGACATACCACAACTACAGCCCTTGATAACCATTCAGACGGCCAGAGAGAGCTCCAGGCCCTGTCACCAAAGCCCAGATGGAAGGGCTGTCTGGCAGGGACCCGGGTCCCAATGCACATGAAGCGCACACGTGGCCCAGAATATCAGAGAACCCCGTGCCGCTGCACTGTGACCTTTCCAAACCCCAGCCAGCAGAAGAGAAAACAGCCATGAAGCACATTGGCCCCCTTCTGGGAGCCGAGAGGGCTGGGCACGGAAGGTCAGAGAGGCCCCTTGGCATAAGGTTTGCTTTCTCGGCCTCCAGCCATCTCCCGGAGGGGCCTGCGGTTTCCATCGAGCCTTTGTGCGGCTTCACAGACAGCCGCCGCGGCAAACGCTGGTTGGCAGACAGCAGCTTGGAAAGGTGGCTTTAAGGACACCGAAGAATGTTTTGAAGGTATCCTACCACCCTCAGGCTCACCTTCGTCTGCACCTTCTCCCTTCTGCCCGGGAACCCAGGCAGGTGAACCCCGGCTGCCAAAGGAGAGCACCGGGACCACCTTGCACCGAGCTGTTGGCCTTTCTGGAGTTTTCTTGGCACAAGCATTCTGCCATGTGGCAGTGTGGCCTTTGTGCGGATCATCTTAATGGATGCGTCACAGCCCTGGGACGGGATACAGTCTCATTTTCGAACGTCCGCTAATAAGCCTGTTTCCAGTTGGGGGCTGTTTACAAATAGCTCTGCAACAAACAGTCGTTTACGAGTTGAAAAGCCGTTTATTGAATTTCTTGGAGAAGCACAATGACGTATATGAAGGGGGGAGGGGAATGATTGGCTTTATTTTAGCAAAGAGAAGAAAGGGGAGCTGGGACCAGGGGGACAGCATCTGTGTGACCTGGGCTGGTGGGCATACGGAGATTCACGGTGCTGCTCTCCCCCTACCCCCCCCTTTTTTTGGTATATGTTTGAGATCTTTCATAATAAAAAAAAATTAAAAATAAAAATGCAGACATGGTCCCTGTTCTCAGCTCACAGTCCCATGGGGAAGCAGACGAGAAGCCCAGGCAGAGCGGTGTGATGAATGCCAGGATGAGGCCAGGGGACCCAGAGGAGGGCCGCTTACCTCTGACTTAGGGAATCGGGAGGGCTTCAGGGAAGAGGGGACAGTGGAGGAGGTGGTCACGTGACACTGAAGGGAAGGGGGCGCTAGGCAGAGGTCCCTTCGGGAGCAAAGGGCAGGTAGAGAAAGAAAGTGCTGCAGATAAAGCCTGGTGTGACGGACCATCTGGCCCGAGCAGAGGTGAGGGGAGCCAGAGCCGGAGCAGACGACGCAAGGGGCGGGAGTAGGGGGCAGTTCAGTGGCATTGCGTGAACCTTAGTGGCACCCAGGTGGCGTCCAGGTGCCGGGCAGCTGGGGGACCAGGCCGTCTGACCTGAGGACCGTCACTCCACTCAGATCACCGCGACTCCCGAAAGCAGGACAGATGGCAGGTGGCGGAAGGGGGAATTTGCAGCTTTTTGCTTCTCCTGAATTACTCCTCTGAGATCGTTTCCAGAATGCTCATCCCCCACATGGTGCCCTCGATTTCTTTGCTATTTTTAGCCTACCTCTTCCAAGAGGCCATGACCTCTTTGAAGGCAGGGGCTAGGTTCTACTCGTCTCTGCAGCCCCAGCGTTTAGCCCACAGCAGGTGCTGAATAAACGCTTGTGAACGAGTGAACCTCCATCGCGCGTTTACTCAGAGCAAGACACAACTGTCCACGCTTTACATGCATTGCTTCGTATGCCAGGGCTTCCTGACCACCCTCATGGAGGGTGTTACTGTCACCCCCTGGGTTAGTTCAGGTCCTCCAAGACAGGGTTTGGGGGGAGGTACCTGGAAGGAGAGCCAGCGAAGGCGGGTCTGACTCCTGCGGGAGGGTTGGGTGAGAAGATTCTCAGAGGGCAGGTAGTGCCGTCCTAGGAGCATCAGAAAATCATCCAATCATTGGTTAGGGGAGTCCGGCACCCCACCCCGTGGGAGCCGGCCAGCGTAGCTCCCCTTTACTCAGGCCCTAGCTGGGGACAGCCCCACTGCTGCAACCTTGGCAGAAACCCCAGAGTGGATCCAGAGGAGCAACAGCTAGAGCCGGCTGTCAATGTCACGCACAGTCCCCATTTTGCAGGCGTGAAGACTGAGGCCTGAGAGGTAAGGTCACTTGCCCATGGCCACACAGATAGGAAGGAGTTGAGCTCCTTTGCTTCAGAGGCCATCTTTGTGACCCCCCCCCCATTCCATAACAGTGTTGTTATGCATTGGATCGAATTATGCATTGAATTGTGTCCCCCAAATTCATATGTGGAAGGCCCAACCCCCGGTGCCTCAGAACGTGACCTCCTCTGCAAAGAGTGTCGCTGCAGACGCAATTAGTTACGATGAGGTTGCACTGGAGTGGGGTGGGCCCCCCATCCAAGGTGACTGGTGTCCTCACGGAAAGGGGTGATTTGGACACAGAGACCCACACAGGGAGAATGCCATGTGAACAAGGCAGAGAAAAGGGTGATGTGCCTGCAAGCCAAGGGACGCCAAAGACGCCTAGCAGCCTGCCAGAGCTGAGAACGAGACTGGGACAGGTCCTCCTTCAGCAGGAACCAGCCCCACTGACCCCTTAATCTCAGGCTTCTGGCCCCCAGGACCACGAGACAACACATTTCTGTTGTTTAAGCCCCCCAACTCGGGGTAACTTGGTTACAACGGTCCTACCGAATGAACACAGCGTGAACCTCCTTGGAGGCAGCTAATGATGCAGAGATGTGCGAGCTGGACGCCCGGGATGTGCTCCGCCCTCAACCCCAGCAGCATGAACCAGGATGGGATCCTTCCCAGACGTGGTTCCAGCCCCCATCCTTGGTC